GCACAGGTCGAAATTGTTTTGTGCATAAAATACGCATACGCAGCGTGTGCCGCAGCTGAAAAGTTTGTCCCCCGTTGACTGTCCTTGTTGTTGTTGCTGCTGTTGTTGTTGTTGTTGTTGTTGCTGCTGCATGTCAGCATTCGCATTTTCACGAGATTTGTCTCTAGCGAGAAAACATAATTAATGGTCTCTTTTAATTCGGCCGCAAATGAAACGTTTAATAGCCGGCAATGCTCGAGCCAAGCAAACAAAGCGTCCCATTTCCTGTTTAACAATGCCAATGCGAGGCATTCTCTGTCTCTAGAAATTGCATATATTACTATTTATTATATCAAATATACCCTGTAATTACGTGTGCAAGCAAAGGCGTTGTCTTCAAGATAGAAATCTCATTTATTTTATTCGCAAGAATTGCCGAACTTTGCAATTTATTCTAAATATAATTTTTTATCTTTCCTCTCTCTCTCACTCTCTCTCTCTCTTTCTATCTCTTTCTTCCACTCTAGAATCTTATAATATTCAATAAGGATTTATATTGAGCCTGTTTAGTCCAAATTTGAATAATTTAGAGAATGTTTCTCCAATTTGACTTAGTAATAAAATATAATATAATAATATAAATCAATTAATATTCACAGTTAAATTAATTTAAATTATAAAAAATTATTTTAAAAATTCTACAAATTTTTTAGTGAAAGTTGTTTCCAAAACTATTTTATGCAATTGAAAGCTGCGATAAATACCTTGAACTATTCTTTCATCTCTTTGGTGTAATATATTCTAAGTTACAGGGTATTTTCTAGTCACACACTATTTGTTAAACAGCAATCCATTTGAAATTCAATTTTGTTGCCTCAAACTAATGTCTGCTTGTGCCATAAAACAAACGCAAATTAACTTTAGCCGCACATCTAGCAGAATATTTTATTGAAACGCTCGCTTGAACCGCAGCAAATCGAACGAAAAACACCACAGGAATCTCCAATGCAACAACAACAACATCAACAACAACAATAACAACAACGACAACAAAGAGTGTAATTTGAAACGCATAAAATTGGTTGCCCTGCGGCCTGCAGCTTCAGTTTCAGCTTTTCAGCGCCTTTTGCTGGGCCTTTGTCTTTTTATGCCCTGAACCCATTGAAAATGGCTAAAACGGGTATATTGTTTTTGTGCAAATGTTTGCAACAGACAGACGGCAGCATATTCGTAATCTCGAGCTGCAAGAAGAACAAAGTTCTTATAGCCTTGTCCGTCTGTCTGTCTGTCCGTAAATGTAATTGAATTGAACTGAGCATTTATATTTCCTTGATAGCCGTTGTATCTCTGATATCTCTCAACTGATATCTCTCGATTGAAGAATATAAAAGCTAGAAACAGCAAACTTGCTTTGCGTTCTCTCGTATAGCCTAAACAGCTTACAAATATTTCCCTCTGTCTGTTTCTCGAGTTAGTTGAAGCATAACTTGAATATTATAGAGGAAGGATGCACTAAACTTGATATGTAGAGCATATAAAGATGAATCATGCTTTAGTTTTTAAATAACTTTCAACTTTGCCAACCAAACTTGTTTTTTAGAATATTTAGTCTTGCGCTTTGCAATATACACAATTCAAATGTGTGTCTGCTTTAAGTCCAGAAACTTGCATTAAGATCGGACTTTAAACAGCGAAGTTATTGCAGAATGCCTTTAGCATAGTGTGGTGCATTGGCAAGAAGAAGCACAGATGCAGTGTGTGTGTGTGTGAGTGTGTGTGTGTGTGAGTGTGTGTGTGTGTGAGTGTGTGTGTGTGTGTGTGTTTGTGTGTGTGTGTGTGTGTGTGTGTATGTGTGTGTGGAAGATAGCTTGACGTACGCTGGATTCAGGGTATCTCCTTGTCGGGATTTGTCGACTTGAGGCACTTTTGCTCGTTTTATTTGCCTGGCCCAGTAGCTCCCTTAACAAGCCCCCAAACAGTCGCTGCCCCCGCCCCTTCGCCCCGCGCTCTGCCCCGCCTCCTTGTATTACGGCGCAATTTTATGGGCATTCAGTTTGGTATTTGGGTCAGTTCAGCTCCAGCTTGCGCTCGGTTGCCTTTAGCTGTGCGTGTGTGCGTGTCTGTGTGTGTGTGTATGTGTGTGTGTGTATGTGTGCGAGTGTGTCTAGTGTGTGTGTGTGTTTGCATTGTGCCAGGCAATTTGCACAGCATAATCAAAGCCAGGCAATGCCCAGCGCCGGAGCATGCGGCGTATACGCAACGTTTATTTTTAGCAAATTGTTTAACGACGTTTTTTATTTATTCATTTAATTTTTTTTTCTGCTCGTTTTTCATTTGTTTTTTTGCTCTCAGTTTAGGCACAATTAAGTTTCGCATTGACGAACAGCATAAAGCACGCTGAGATCTATGCGAAAATCTAGATAATAAAGCGGAAAACTCCGGGAAAACTGTTGCCGGGTTTGATTGGCAAATGAAAATGAAGCGTCTGCTGGCTTTTATAAAGAATAAATGTATTTAGTTTTTGTTTGTTTTTGTGGCTTATGCAATCTGCAAGTGGCGGCCACTTGTCAACGCGAGAAGAACGCGAATTTCGCGAAATCATTTTTAATGTACGTGACGAAATCTGATTTCAATGCAGGCCAAGAAAAATACAAGCGCACAGATTGATATATATGCATGATATACAATATATATATATATATGGGCTATATATACGATATATGGCACAAGTAGCTGCAGCCAAATGCAATTTATCAACAGTTGGGCTTAAATTGTCTGCAGCGTTACGGAAAAATGATCAAGCGAAGGATGCGAGGGAGTCTCTCTGTGTGTGTGTTGTGTGTGTGTGTGTGTGTGTGTTGTGTTGTTAGCTCTGGCGTTAAATTCTCTAATAAGTGCAAATTGACAACAACAACAACAACAACAACAACAATGTTGCATGCGGCCTTTTGCATTTTAATTGAATTCTTGCTCGAGAGCTTGTAAGCAATTGCGTCTATAAAGTATTCTATCGAACGGGAAGTCAAATGCTGAACGTGGCGGCTTTAGCAATGAGATATATATATGGTATATATAGTACCAATATATATATATATATATATATTCTATATTCTATACAGCAACTGTTGGCCCGCAGCTGAGCACGTTGCCAGCTGTGTTTCTTGATAGGCAACTGAGCTTTGTTTTCAATTATCTAGTATTATTATTATTTTTCTTGCTTCTTTTTCTTTTTGTGTTTTATATGTTCTCGATTGCCTAACGTTGGCATAACGGTTAAGATAGTAGCGCAGTTCTGCTATAAAACAAATTAACTTGGCTGAAAACAATAGAGTTCCAGGAAATGAAAGCAATAAGGGAAGTAGAGACATTTTTGCATTTGCAAGAATGAAATGCTGACAAAATAAACAAGTTTTTTGTATATTAAAATATAATATATGGTATATATATAGTTTAAAGTTGAACACATTTAAAGCCATTTATTATTTTAGTTAAGTTTTTTTCTATTTATAGTATGTTTTTTTTTATGTTTTTATTGCTTAGCTATTAATTTATTACTCTTAGCCTTTCGTGACAGTTTTTAATGGCTTTTAAATTATATTATGCTCTAAGAGCATCCATTAAAATATCTGATATATATGTATATAAGCGCTATCTCTGGACATTCTTCAGCAGAATCTATATAATTAAAACGCCAAACTAATTGCTGTAAAGGCAGTCGCAATGGACCTTGCATAATTCCTATGGCACAAGCACTTACTTAACTCACATCCCCAATTAACCTGCCTTATCTGGCTTGCTATTATCACTTTGCTACACACACACACACAGACACACACGCACACACTCGCACACACTTGACATCAATTTGGGGCAGCAAAAATATTGACAAACATTTCGAGTGAGCGTTTTACATAACCGAAACATAAGCAAAAACATGGTTAACACTCGAACAACAACAACAACGACAACAACTTTGTAGACATCATTATGTAGCCCATTGAATGTTGCATGTTGCTGCGGCAGCAAAATGCAAATCTTGCATCCGAAGCTGGCGATGAGCAGCGGCTGCATTTGGCTATTGGCTGATATGTAATCATTTTTGCGACAATTTGTTTAGCAATTGCAGCAACAACAAAAAACAAGAGGGCCAACAAACACACACACATACGCAACACCTTTATTGACAACTACGTAGCGCTGCTTGTTGTTGCGCTTGTTTTTATGTTGCGTAATGTTAGGCTACATAATCGCGTTTTTTAACAGACGCGTCAGCAGCCGCTGCTCGCCGCTCTTAGCAGTTAACAGCGCAAGAGCGCGCGCATACTAAAGAGTTAACATTGTAAATTTCATATGCGCACGCTCTTAAAATGTTAACGCGTGCTGCTTAAATGTTGCCAGCAACATGTCATGTTAATATCGCTAGCAACATTTTCAGCAAGCATAGCTGTTAAAGTATTGCATCTTTGAGCTATGTTAATGTTGTTCTTGTGCTTGAAAGAGTTGTGCTCTTGACAAATTTGCACCAACCAATGCAGGCGCGTGCCGTGCATTAACAGCGTCTGTTAGCTGGCACTGTTAATGTTAAGCAGCAGTCTGCAGCGCTGTTTGCATTAGCGCCTGCAGCGAACGTCAACGTCAGCGTCGACAGCGAACTAATTGTAGAATTTGTGCGCGTGTTGGCCGTCGCCTCAGTGGTGGGCGGATGGGTGGGTGGCTGGCTGGCTGGTTGGCTAGTTTGTTTTGGCTGCTGAGGTAAACACATATATATTTATATATATAATTGGCTAACAAGTGCTTGCCAAGCGATCGCGCCTCCATAAGATGTTGACGAGCGGCATCTTTTTGACATTTTCATTTACAAAAGCTGACATTAAGTGTGTGATTTTCACAATTTTCATGATTTTCCTCATTTTCATGTGTTTTACAGCGCAGCAATTAAGCGCCAATTAGCAAATGCTTTTGATTTTCCTCCTCATATATTCTCTAATAATTTTCTTTGGTCTTTCCTTTTTCGTTTGCAGCGCCGAGCAACTTCAAGAGTCTCTGTCTGCGCGCCGAGGTGCTGCTGAAGCTGAGCCACTATCAAAGCTCCCTGGCGGACATTGAGAATGCGCTGCGCACGCGCTGCACTTCGCCCAAGGTGAGCTACTGCTTGACTACAGTGAATAGACGCTATAATGAATACTCTCTGTGCAATTTGCAGGCACACTATTTGCGCGCCTTGGCGCTGAGCGGCTTGGGTCGACTGGAGGATGCCCTGTACAATGGCTTTCTGGCCATTTGCCTGGACAAAAACACAAATCTCAGCAACTCGGAAATCTTTCAACATGATCTCGCCAAGGTGTGTGGGCCTATATAAGGCTGCCTTGATCAACTTTTGCTCATATCTCTTTGCCCTTTTCAGATACTGCAACGTCTCCTGGCCCAAACGCCCAAAAGTCGCGCAGCGATTGAGTCGCTGCCGCCGTCGGCAGCGCAGCTGCAGCGCAGCTATGCGGTCGCCGCCAAGGCGCCGTACGCGCTGCTCTGGGAGCAGATGCGCCGGCGCAGGAAACAGCATCATCATGTGCATCTGGACGATGTCGAGGATGAGTTCGGCCTGAGCTGCGAGAAGGACTACGACAACTACATCATGGCCGACGAGGAGGAGGTTGAGGTCGAAGTGGAGGAGGAGGAGGAGGAGGCGGCGGCGGCGGCGGCGGAAGAGGCCCAGCTGCAAATGGATGGCGATTTTCTGTTCCCCAGCGCCCTTGACTATATCGATCCGCGCAACGTCTACGAGCAGCTGCACAGCGCCAAGCAGTTCGAGCTGCAGGCGCGTCGGCATGCCAATCGCAAGCATTGCCGCAGAAAATGGGCCGCGGCACAGGCGGCGGGGCAGCTGCCACATGTGGCAGCCGGCTGCGAGACGCGACGCTGCAGCCGCTTGCTGAGCGGCGTGCTCGAGCGCACGCAGCAGGAGATGCAGCGACTGAGAAGTGAGTTTGGCTTATATCCCATGCTGAGATAAATCTCTATTAAGATCAATCTCCGTCTGTTCCAGAGCTGGATGGGTCGGAGCAGCGGCAGCTGACCGCCGTTGGGGGCCAGCTGATCGATGCGAGCGATTTTGATTGCGTGCTGTGCTGCCGGACGCTGTGGAAGCCGGTGGTGACGCCGTGTGGACACACCTACTGTCTGGTATGCTTGGATCGTTGCATGGATTACAACTCCTCGTGTCCATTGTGCATGTCACCACTTGTGGAACTAAATGTCAATAATAATCTGTATCAGGGCTCATCCTCGCCAGTACCCTTTGCGCTGGCCAAGCGGCCAGTTACGAAATTCCTAGAAGCCGCAATGAAACGATTCATTCCAGACCACTACGAGGCGCGCTTTCGCCAGGAAATCGATCAGGAGCCCTCGGTGCCGGTATTCATCTGCACCGCGGCCTTCCCATCGGTACCCTGTCCGCTGTTCGTCTGTGATCCCCGCTACCGGCTGATGGTGCGGCGTGCCCTCGAGTCCGGCGACAAGACGTTCGGCATTGTCCAGCCGCACAGCGGCAAGTCCCGATACTATGATGTCGGCACCATATTGGACATAAGGGACTGTGTCCTGCTCGGCGACGGTTGCTCCATACTGAGCACCATCGGCTGCAAGCGCTTCAAGATACTCGCGCGCAGCGAAAAGGATGGCTACGAAACGGCCAAGGTGGAGTACATATGCGATGAGCCGATTGCCATCGATCAGGTTCAATCTGTGGCTGCGATGCAGTCCCTGGTGCTGGCCAAGGCGACCGGCTGGTTCGAGAGCCTCAGCACCGAGCAAAAGCACGAGATACTCCAGAGCTATGGCCAGATGCCGCCGCTCGAGCACAGCTGGCAGCTGATCGCGGACGGGCCCGCCTGGGCCTGGTGGATCATTGCCCTGCTGCCGCTCTCCCAGCAGCTGAAGGTACGTAGCCTCACATATTGATCCTTGTTTGAGCTTCAGCTAATATTGTTTTATTCCATTTTGCAGGTGGACATACTGGGCACCACGTCGCTAAAGAAGCGTCTGCGCGCCATTGACAAGACGCTCGACTATCTGCGCGAGCTGAGTCAGCCGCAGCCGCAGCAGCAGGCGCCGCAGCAGTCGCCGCAGCAGCCGCACGATCTCAGCCTGGACTGCGAGGAGCAGGTCGCCGACGAGGCCGCAGCCGGTGTTGGTGTGGACGAGTGCTGCCTGTACGGCGAGTCGCACACCGACGAGGAGTTGCTGCTGTAGTGCAGCCCGCCTAGCTGTAGCTCCAGCAGTAGCTCTAGCAGTAGCAGTAGCTGTAGCAGTAGCAGTAGCTGTAGTTGTAGTAGTTGTAGTGAGTGTGAAAAGCGTTTCTCAATATGGTTAAAGCGAGCGTAAATTCTGTGTCTAAGCCATTCGTATTACACGTTACTGTTATCCTAGGGGCCAAAACGAAAGATATAATAACTTAGCAGAACCAAATTATCAGTAGACGAAACTGTAACTGTAACTGTAACTTAGAACTGTAAACTGTAAACTGTAAACTGTAGCTATAAAATGTAAACTGAAAACTGTAAGCTTTACAGATGTTAACTGAAAACTGTAAACTTTAAAGTGTAAACTGAAAACTTTAAACTGTAAACTGAATGTGTGTAAAAGTTGAACTCAATGTGTAGCTTATGAAAGAGATTTACAACAAAAATATATATATATATGTATCTATAGTTATGTATATATAATACACATACAATCAAAAGTCGCCCCTAACAATCTAGAGAGCCCCCTAATTTCCTGTTGAAACCAACCAAAAAAAAAAAAAAAAAAACGAAAACGAACCACATTCCACAAAATGAAAAAGAACATAAATCTTTGTACAGCAAATACTTCTCTGCAGCAAAAAATATCTTCAACAACAACAACTCATGGTTTCTACAAGAAAACACACAAATTTTAGAAATAAATTAAACAACAAACAATACCAAAACTTTGTAAAGGCCAACAACATACACCACAAAAGAAAAAAAAAGAAGAGAAGTAGTTAAAGAGAACTCGACTCAAATGAAGAATTGCAACTTTTCTGGAGAAAAACTGAATATAAGAAGAAGAGCAGAGAAAACTCTTTCGGGAGTATTTCTTGATTTATTTAAGTATAAGCGGCTGGAACTATAAGACAATCTGCAACATTTTTTTCTTATTTTGTATGACTAAAAATAATAAAACTAAATAAAGTATAAATAAAAGAGGAACGAGGAGCAGCTCATAACTAGCGTGTAGTTAGAATTCATGTGGAAAATGCAATTTAATTTTCTTCTGTTAGCTTTCAATTTATAAGTCAAATTTTCCCGCTACTCTCTCTGTCTCTATAAACACAAGCACTCTCTCTCTCTATCTCTCTCAGTACATGTTTTAATTAAGCTATGATATGCGTACTATCCAAATTATATATATATATATATATCATATGTATGCTCACCTATATACCTATATATATGTATATATATTTGTATGTGTATGCCAATCAAAAGGGATTGACCGGCTAATGCTAATGCTCTTTTTCTGTATTTGTATCTGTAACAAACTTATTATATATATATATTTAAACTGTATCTGTATCTGTATCTAAAGTCCGCATTCCTATAAACGAAACACACACACACACACACATACACACAAACTTTAAATAGTTATTGAATTAATTTAATTAGCCTTAAGCCTCATCAAGCCTCATTCAATTTTTGTATTGTAAAGCAAATGAATTTTAAAAACAACAATTTGCTTTGCCAGTCAGCTCACATCAACCGATACATAAACATATATATATATATATATATATATATATATATAGATATATATATGTGAACTTGTATATAGTTAGGACTTTGTTGAACCACGCCTTATAAAGCATAAACAAGCATATTTCTTATATGATCACGAATTTAATTTTTAGCACACACCCACACACACACAGACACAGACACACACACACATTAAGCAATTAGCTATGTAATTTTATACATAATATTAATCATTTTTGTCAGCTAAGTTTTGAAATATTCAACATAATTTGTAAACGTTTTTTGTGTCTAATTTATAACGAAAAGAGTAAGAAACAGTAAAAAAAAAGTATATATAAAAAATAAATGAATATCTGAATATATAAATACGATATGATCTATGATAAACGATAGCTCAGTTCTATGTGTGTGCAACAAATTTTTGACTCGTATTTCTTTTCTTTTTATTCGAATGTCCAATAAAACGAAATTTACAAAACAAAACGGAAACACTCCAATTAAAATCTAGTTTTACAGTTGCATCTTGGTTTTTCTTTTTCGCCTAATGATATTGCAATTCGATTCGCAAATAGCCTTCGGCTGCACTTTGAGTTCAACGATACCAAAACTTCAATAGATCTCAGTTCAGGCATACGATTTACTGGCAAAGCTCTATAAATATTTAACACTTGCTCCGATCTGTTTCCATCTTACCATATGCAATTTCAATATATCCTGTCTTGCATAAAATGCATAAGACCTCAAAACACAAAACTACTCTCGCAGTGCACTCTATGCTAATTCCTGGAATTACGTAAGCATATTATACATACGAAATTTATAGAGCCAAATCTGGCAAATGGAAATCGAGCAACGCGTGAATTTGAATCGATTAATTGATATCCCACAACAGTTCAGTCAACAAATCCGTGAATCTCCGTGAATCTTATAGACTAGGTTTTTTTATGCTCTTATAACTCGGTCGGTTTCTTCAGTTCTCTCACGAGCTTGTACGTCTTAAGAGCTGAGCTCCGCATATGAAATATTCATAGCACAGATTTGCGTACGCATAAATACATAGAAGATATAGACATAACAACTCTTAGATGGTCTCAAAAAGCATACATTTTATTTGCATCCGCAAATGAAAGAAATCTAATTTTAAATAATCAAAGAGTGGAAATATTATATCTCACCAAGTTTAATTTTTGTTCCATCGTTGTCCAACTTATTTGGTAAAATCTTTGTAATATGTTACCTAAGCCGCGATTCGCCGATGTCAAAAAGCTACTCCAATATATGCAAGTGGGTTAAAAGCTGTCGTAACCGACTCAAATTTGTTCATATCAAGAAACGGATGTAAAATTGATGTAAGCTATTTAAGAATGTGTGCTTGAATGTATTTATGTGTGTATGTGAGTATGTGTGTGTATGCATGACATACATGCGCACATATGTACACACATCTGGGTTTATATGGCTCCAAAAGTAGACAAGCTTACTTTGCCCAGCAGTGCAAATTTTAAAGAAACGTATTTTTGCCTACTGCCCTACTACTCGATTCTCATAAATTCAAGTAAGCCTCGCAGATTTCATGCTTCAATTAAAGTGTGATATTCTAGTTAGTTTTCTGTTTGTATGTAGATTTGTATGTACATATGTATGTAAGTATGTATGTATGTATGCATGTATGCATGTATGCATGTATGCATGTATGTATGTATATATGTATGTATGTATGTATGTATGTGTGTACGTATGTATGTATGTATGTATGTATGTATGTGTGTATGTATGTATGTATGTATGCATGTATGTATGTATGTCTGTATGTAAGTGTATATGTAAGTGTATATGTATGCATATGTATGTAAGTATGTATTTATGTATGCATGTATGTATGTATGCATGTATGTATGTATGTATGCATGTATGTATGTATGCACATATGTATGCATGTACATATGTATGTCTGCATGAAAATATGAATGTATGTATGTATGTATGCATGAAAATATGAATGTATTTATGTATGTATGAATGTAGGTATGTGTATGCATGTATGTATATATATTTAAGTATGTATGTATGTATGTATGTATGAATTTGTCTAAACATGTAGATTATTGCAAAGGAAACGTATTTTTGACTACTGCCCTGCTATGCGATTCTCATAAATTCAAGTAAGCCTCGCAGGTTTTCATGCCTTGATTTAAAGTGTACCGCGTGTGTGTGTGTGTGGTGTTGGTAGCCTAGCTAGTTTCGTGTCTGTCTGAAGGTAGGTTGGCTTGTATCTGAGACTATGAAATGTATACATGTTTGTATGTGTGTGTATGTATGTATGTATGTAGTTGTGTATGAAGACATGTATGTTTGACTTTAGATATGTCGCTTTCTAAATATGCATGTAAGCAAAATGCAGATCAACGTCTTTTTCCGCGGCGGTGCAATTTGAAAACATAGGCATTTCAAACCACTTCCCTACTATGCAATTCTCATTAATTCAAGTAGGTCCTGCCGTTTTTCATGCAATAATTAAGTGTTTTGTTAACAAATTTCGGTGCTGCTAATCTAATATTAAGTATAAACTTTTTTTACACTCACTCTAATTTATGCTCTTGCTGTCTAGCCCTTCCATCGCCTTCTTCTTTTCTCTCACTTATTCCTCTCGCTTCTTCCTTCTCTGTATATATTGTTGCCCCCCCTCTATTTATGATGGCAATAAAATAATCGTGTATTTGTGATCTTTCGGGTAAGTTTATATTTATTTATTATTTTGTAACTTTAACATTGTTTGATAACTTTCAGCATATTTAGCCATTAATTTTAGTATTACATTTTACCACAGATAAGCTGTAATTGATCCTAACTATATATCAATACGAGACGAGTTTCCTAAAGGTAATTCCAGTCCCGCTGACAGCAGATGAACCCTCACTGCATACAATTATAGGGTTAGAGTCAAAGGGTATGATTAGTCCGTCAATGCGGGACGCAGTGCATATAATTATAAGCTTCAACTTGTCTTAAGAGCAAGACAAGCAACAAAGCCTAGCAGACCTTGAAGCACCCTACCACTAACTCAACGGGTCAATAAACAAGACAAACAAATCGCAAGACAAACCGGAAACGGCAGACCCAACACGTGCAGAGCTGCGCTCAGCGGGGGGCAGCGGCACACGAGTCCCGAGTGGCATGTCACAAACAGAGCAACGTCTCCTTGCCACTGCCTGCAAGACCCTGCGCCATGCTGATAACCCAAAAGCAGCTGTAAATGCGACAGATAAAGCCAAAGGCAAGCAGGTTGCTGCTTGCGTCGCTGCCAGCGTCGACGTCGTCAGCGCTGTCGGCGTCGCTGCCGACGATCGCTGAGTGGGGCTTTTGCCGAGCGAGCTGCCCGCTGCTGTTGGCGTAATATTAAATAATAGCCGGGTCGACGCGATGCGACGCTCGCAAATGCCAGCTAATGCGGGGAAGGCGCGCATATCGCGTATACGCCCCGTGCGGCAGCGAGTGCCGGCTAGCGAAGCGAATGCCAAAGCAACACGACAAAAGCGCACGTGTGTGTGTGAGTGAGTGAGTGTGGTTGTGTGTGTGTGTGTGTGTGTGTGAGTGATGAGAACATGTATTTATTTGTATGGCCCGCGCTCGATGCATTTCGCGCTCGCTCGACGTTTATCCACACACACAGAAAATGCATTTTTTTGTATATATTTTTTATTTTATTTTTTGCTGCTGCTGTTGTTGTTGTTGTTGTTGGGAGCGCGTCGCAGCTTAGAAATTGCAATTCTCGTTTCTCGTGGCGTCGGCGAGAATTTGGGGCCTTTTTCTTTCAGTTAGATTTTGACACGCGCAGCGACAACGAGCGTCAAACGCGCGTCTCTCCCCAATACCCAGCACCCAGTTGCAAAGCGGCGTCTACTGCAGCGAGTCGGCGGGGCGTCGGGCGCCAAGCTCGAGGCGCCAATTCAAGCGGTTTCTTCGGCCAAACGTACCGCATACCACACATTATCTATATATATGTATGTGTATGATAAAACAGATATTGCTGCTATCGTCGGATTTGCTTTAGTCTAATATGCGATTCGTATTGTGTCTAACTTACTCTGACTTACAGCTGTAACTCGATCGTAAATTACACGCGTTCGTTGTGCCTGGCTTACGAGTGGCTCAGTGTGTGTGTGTGTGTGTGTGTGCTGCGACAACTCTGTTTTTCTTTTCTTCCTGCTTCCTGTTTCATTTGCTGAGCTGCATCTAAAATAAAAAATATTTAAAAACAAAGGCAAAAATAAAATAAATAAATGAAAATAAAAGATTTGTAAAGAGCTACGCAAATAATATTAAAGAAAAATAATATCTAATGCTCTTATTCTGCTGCTTTCTTTTTTCTTTCGAATGCGAAAAGCAACATAAACAAAAAACGCAAAAAGCAAGCGCTAATAATATTATGTAATTTTTAAACATTTATACAAAAGCTCAATCAATAAAAAACAAATATAAAAAAAAACTTGTTAAGTTTTTGAATGCTTTAACAAATTATTTGTTGATTTTTAGAAAATTAAAAAATTGTTAAATTCATTTATTATTTTATTAAAATATCTACTTAAAAATGTAATTCTTCCCGGAATATGGAATAAATAAATAATTGTCAAGCTGTAGCTAAAAAAAGGAAATAAACAAAATACGTAAATTAAAAATTAATATTCTAATTAAAAAACTAGTGTGTGCCTGAAGTGTGTAAAGCAAAGCGCAAATGAATTAAGAATATGTAATGCAAGTGCTTAAGTATAATAAAAATAGTGTTAAAAAGTAAATAAATAGGCAGATATGAACGCGAATGGTGGGAGGCGAACAAGCAAAGAAACAGTAACGAAAGCCAAAACTAATAAAAAGTGCATTCAACCAAAAATGTTCTACGTATGCGGCGCACAGAAGAGAGAGCGCAGCTAAGATGTAATTTCAGCGAAATAAATAACGTGCAAAAAACAGCTATAAAATGAATATAATGCAACACTGGAAAGATAAGGGACTAAAATAGATTTAACAAATATACAAAACTATAAAAATAAATAGAATCAAATAACAAGTACAAAAAACAGTTTAAGGAAATGAAAATAATGCAACACGGGACAAATAATAAATTAAATTAATGATATGTAACAGACAAGCAACAACACAGAAAGAATGGAAAATTATGCAACACTGAATATATGTATTATTATATTTAACATAAATATATAAATATATAAGCAGATGCGCATGTTCAAGAAGAACAAAAATAATTAATGCAACACTCAAAAAATATTATACTAAATTTATATGCAAACATTTTAAAAACAATGAAAATAATGCAACACTGGAAAAATTAATAATTAAAATAAGAATATATTTATATTTCTATATACTCGCATATATAAAAGAACAAGTAACAGCTAAAACACCTGAATTATATATATTTATATTTAAATATATATTTTATACATTCAACAGTTAAAAGAAAACGAAAATAATGCAACACTGGTTAAACAATAGACCAAAAGGAAAATTAATATTGAGTTTCTTTCAAGTATTTCTCATTTTATTTTTAATTGTGTTTTTTGCTTGTCAAAGTCGCTCTCTGCAGGCTGCGGGTCGCGGGCTGCTCGGTTTAGTTGAGCTCAGCATTTGGGGGCTTGGGCCGCGCTTGCCGGGGCGCTGGGGGAGGCGGGGCTCTGTGTCAGGTTTGAGTAGCGTCTTTTTGAAACGTCATCGTCAGCGTTTGAGCGTCGTGTCGTGTCGACTGTCTACACAGGTGTGTGTGTGTGTGTGTGTGTGTGTGTGTGTGTGTGTTTGAGTGTGTGTGTCTTACCCTGTGTGCTTCACTGTGTGAGTGCGCGTGTGCATTCTGCATTGGTGTGCATGATTCTTGGGCAATGTGTGTGTGTGTGTGTGTGTGTGTGCGTGTGTGTGTGATCATGCGCCAGACAGCTAAAATGCCAGCGTAAAATCATTTCAATTGACAACTTTTATATTTTAAACTAATATGTTACAACTTTCAGTGAAACAGAGAGAGAGAGAAGGAGAGAGAGGGAGGGAGAGGGAGAGAGGGTATCTTGACTCAAAATATGTGCCAATCAATTCTAAAATTCAATTTCTATCATCTTTGATAAAAATAAAACATATGAATTGCAAAATATTTCTTACGATCAAACGTTTAAAATCTATATTTATCTCACAGCCAGAGCCCAACTGGATTTTCTATGGCTCTTTAATTGCAGCAATTACAATAAGTATATATATTAGTAACAAGATACTCGAAAGGCTGTGACAACGAAGAGATAAGCGTTTTGTGTCCCAAGTTAGAAGAGAAATAGTTGGAAAAGACTTAGGTGAAGCGTATTGCTTTGTCTTAGACTTGATAAAACATTAACTATAAAGAACAAGCATATTGTAATTGCATATTAAATTAATTATTCCTTCCTTTCATTAGTGCAACTTCAGACGAAACAGCTTCTTAATAATACTTGAAAATAACTGTTTAATTGTTGTTAAACTTAACGAAATCAAAAACTAATCAATTTAAATAATAGTGAGTGGCAAGAAAAGCTACAGCACATCCGCTTCGCATGTCGAGCTGCGAGATGAGCACTCCAAAGATGGAGTATCTGCTGCATAGATCGATTACTTGCCATCGTTAGAATAGTGCATAAAATGCATACTATATATTAAAATAGGCGACTAACTTAAGGGCTGCCCATGGGACTTGGGCTTGAAGTGGAAATTATCTTGCGAGCTGAGATCGGAGCGTGCATGAAATGGAAATCCTTGGGTAGCTACCTTAATTATGCCTTTAGATGTCTACACATTCCAGGTGTATAAAAAAAAATGTTGCTGTTAACACACATGAAACTGAACAAAACGGGAATCGAAATAAATCAATGAATGGCAGACAATTGGCTAATGATAAAAATAAAAATAAAGCAGCAGCAAAATAGGAAAAAATTTAATTAAGTCAAGTTTAAAACAACAACAACAACAACAAAAGCGAAGAGAGCGAATGAAAGAGCGACAGTTATGTGTGCGTGTGTGCTTGTGTTTGTGCAGAGCAAGCTTGTCAACTGTGCCGTGCAGTGCGAGTGAAACAAAAAATATTACAAAAGTCGCAAAGCTTTAAAAAAAAGGCGGACCGCAGCAAAACAAAACACGACGAAAGGGGCTGTGCGGGCGCAGCAGGCGCGGTATTATCACACACAGCACACATCAACTTAGACACACACGCACACTGTTGCGCTATGCTGTAATCGCAATGCAATTAGCAGAGCCAGCAAAAGCTCAAGTTCACTGACAAAGAAATCAAACACTGTCACAAGCGCGCACACGACACACACGCACGCACACAGGCAGAGCAACTATGCGATAATTTGCGGACTGAGCGAAGCTTTAGAAATGCAATCAAATGACGTTGGCTGCAAGCGCCGAAGAGAGCGCCTGTGTGACAGCGAGAGAGAGAGAGAGAGCGCGGCGAAGAGAGCTTTTGCATGACTAGGTCAGTCAACGATCTTGCGGCTGCAGTTGGCAACCGGCTTTACGAGCTTTCTGCTTCCGCATTGCAAAAAAAAAAGAGATACAATAACAAAACGTTTATCAATGCCAAATGAGCATAGAAAAAATGTTGTCTGATTGGCTGTGTGTGTGTGTGTGCTGGTAGGGGAGTAGGAGGCTCGGGTTTGCGGCATGTAATTGTCGCAAGCTTTGCTAACTATTTGTTTTGTTTACATTAAGCTACATTTGGAATGGTTTATTATGCAATTGACTCGTTGAAGTGCAGGCAAATGATACGTGAATAGCTGTCGCTTTTGTGTATTGGATTCATTGTATCTATTCCTAGATCAGATTGTACCAGTTGGGAATTTTAAGAATAGGCATGACAACCTTTTATAGACTATAATTATAAATTGATTTGACTAATTGAAGTGACTATGTTTCTTTGATATAATTTTCTCTTTATTGATAAAATACTTCTTAGCATATAATACTCTTATTAATTATTGAATAATTATAATTAATATTAATTTATCTTACGGTGAGAACCTGATTAGCTTAAATACCTCCAAGCTGTTCAAGCTTAAATCCTTAAACTATGTTGTTTTATTTATATTGGTTTCTATTGGATATCATTCAGGAGATTTTAAGTATGTCCCTCTCTCTCTCTGTCTCTCTCTTTTTTCTTTATTTTTCTCAAATCAAATCTGTTTTAGCGAATGAAAGAATTGAATAAGTAGAAGTCATAGTAAATATTGTTGTATAATTTGAGGCATAGTCTCTCTATTCTTTGCTCATTCTACATCTCAATTCTCTTCATTTCTCTCTTTCTCGTTCTCTCTCTCTGACTCTCCTTTTCATTAATCAGTTCTCCTCTAACTCTTTTATCGAATAAAATAGATCATTAACTCGTAGTTAGCATTTTAGTATATGTATTTGAGACATAGCCTCTACCCCCTTTCTCTCTCTCTCTCTCTCTCTCTCTCTCGCGTGTGTGTCTAGTGTTCCCTAGTCTTGGCCATTGGCAATTGGCGCGCAGCAAACCGCACTAATTGCAATTCGAGCCATTAAACACACGTTGGCAATTATTAGCGGCTACCTTTTTAAAGCTGGCAAAACCACAGAACGTAAGCCGAGCCCAACCAGTTGATAGAAAAGCAACAACAAGAACAGCAGCAGCAGCAGCTACTTAGGGTTAACCAGCAACACTTGCCCAAAGCAAATGCCAGGAGCAGCAACTACAACTTGGCTGTGGGGGAGCTGGCTTAGAGGGGGGGGGGGGGGGGGGGGGGGGCTTTGGGGCTAGGAAAAGCTGTCGGCATTTTGGCTTTGATGTGTATTTAAAATGTTGCCTGGCCACTTGCAGCTGCAACTGTTGAATACATGTGGGAAATTATGATTCGTTAAATGCTTCGCCGGACAAATGGCTAAACGGATTAATTAAACAGCAACACATATGCATGTGTGTGCGTGTGTGTGTGTGTGTGTGTGTGGATTTTAAGCCGCTTGTTTTCTGCTTTTGAGCTGCATATTTAAAGCCCGTTGCTGGAAACGCTTTTAATTAAGGGTAAACGCAATTTTGCCAGTTTGTTGCAAGCCTTTTGCATTTGCCAGGCTTTCAACAACAACAACAACAACGACGGCGTTTTCTTTGACATTTTCTTGGGCAACAACTTGTGTGGCAGCAGTGAAAGTTTTGTGGCAAGTTCAAATTCACCTGAAGCCCCATCAAATCGCAATTAAGCAGGCGTTTGTATTCGTATTTTCAGTTGAGCCATTAGCATTCAATTAACAAATAAAAACAAAACCAGAATCAACTGCATGTACATGTAGAGCCACACACATACACGCACACACACACACACACACACAGATACACGCATTATGCAATATGTTTGAGTATTATGAGCCAAACGTGCGGCAAAAGCAACGCGCTGCCTGGCAATTGGTTAGCAGCTGCTTAATACACACACAGACACACATACGCACGCGAGCACACACACACATGCACATACATGCCCGTGTACGCACATGACTCGCATAAGGTTGTTATGGCATTCGCCGTCGCATTTAGTAACCGGAGCAAAATAACATAGCATACTTTTTAGGGGATGCAATCGTCTAGTTGCAACATCCGTGTCGGCTGCAATGATTGGCGCGCGGCTGCCGCAAATTGGCCACTGGGCACGCGCTGTGGCACATGCGCAGGCGCAGCACAGCGACTGGCCTCTGCGTTACGTAACTGCACCGGCAGCAGCAGCAGCAGCAGCGACAGAGGCAGCGGCAGCGACTTCTCGACGAAGGATGCTGCTGCCAGCAGCACAAAGCCAAGAACAATTGCCTGTGTGTGTGAGTGTGTAAGAGTGTGCGAGTGTTATCGAAGTCGAGTACTTGGGCCAAAGGCCAGGTCAGATGCTCAACTGCACTTGTTGCTGACGGTACGCGAAACGTTGTGTAGCAATAAATAAGATATAATATTTTGAAAAAATAAGTGCAAGTTTAATAAAAATTTCCTTTGATTTTTTTTGCCAGCAAGTAAAATAATAATCAACAAAATGTGGCACATATTTAAACGCTTTGCAATTAGCTGTCGCGCGAATGTTACCTAAAAGCAAAACTTAACAAAATGCAACAAAATAACAAAAATAGAAATATGTAAAATTAAAAATTGTGTACCGAACAAAGTTAAGTGCAAAGGTGAGTGCGAGTTTTTTTTTCTTGTTTTTTTAAACAAATCTGAAAAAAAAAAAAAAAAAAAACAACAAGCTGGAAGAGGAATATCTATCGCATGCAAAGATGGACGACGAGAGCGATGATAAGGATGACACGAAAAGGTGAGCACAACCACAAATTACTCATAGACTCGCACCTGCATGGGCAAACATGAATGTATATTTGTATGGGCGGGGCGCACTGCAATTGACAGTTATGATACGAAATACGTAGACAATGAATTATAAATAAAATAAAACGCAGGTAAGTATATTTTAGTCGGGCCCAACCGACTGTCTAATGCACGCCAACAGTTCAAAACATGCTGCCCGCCAAATTTTGTCAGAGATATCGATACCTTTTGCATGTGCCATGCCTCCAGTGGGCGGTCGATCTTCAGCGAAGCTGTGGATCATCAATTTTGAGATGTGACCAAAAGACTCTTGGATTTCTTTAGAGAAGATCTCTGACGCACATTGCCCAAAGAATATATACTCCTTTCAATTTGCAAACAAGTATTAAATATAGATAGAAAAAAACAATACATTTTGCGCATTCAAATTGGACTATTTTCTCTAGCGTAAAACTGAGTCAATTTCCATGAGCCAAGTTTCCCAAGTCATAATCAACTAGCTGCCCCTCTGCTCAGCCCCCCCGTCTGCCCCGTCCCTTCACCACAACTAAAATCTGCTATAGTTGGCCCAACTTGTACACAAGGTTCATAGCTTTAGTTAAGTGTAATTTGAGAATGATTTGATTATTTTGGCCAACAACCAAATCTTATATGCTCATAAGTAATTACAATTATTTGTATGCCCCTGCAGCCGGTATGACAAGCTTGTCTGGAAATTTTCTTTAATTCCATTATGAGTCGGACCATTATAAGTATTATGTGTGTATATAGCAGCCATGGGAAAGGCCTCTTGAAAATTCTATTCCTGTTTTGTTTTTCGATTTATCTTGAATCTATACAATACACATTAGCCATATCTTATGGACATTAGAGTATATCATTCTCTAGAACTTTATAGTTAGAAATGGATGTAAGTATAAAGTTTTTATGAGGATAATTTTCCCGATTTATAATTATTTCGTCCAAGCTCAGCAGCTACGAGCTGTATTTGTCTTCCAAAAGTATCTGTAAAATCTCGTCAAATCGAACTTCTATATCATATCTTGAAATAAAATATCTTCTATAAAGACCATATTTCTGTAAGGGTATTCAAATTTCTGCGTTTGTTTCTGTTTGTTTTCTTGTTTCTATTTCATAATATGTCAACGCGCTGCGATTAGTTTGTGTTTCAATAAATATATCAAATTGGTAATTCAATAGCCGGAAAATGCAGATAGAAAGAGAGAAAGATAAGCAGAGTGAGAAATAGAGGAAAATGCGCCGACTTATGCTCATAATTAATTGCAGTATCATTTATGATTAGTATTATAGGAAAGTCTTTTAATTAAGTTAAGTAAGTGAGTACGTATAATATATCAGGGCCTAAAACTGCCAAAAAAATGTGTTCCGGTTTGACTTTCCCAATATTTCTTGACATGTTTCAATATTTCTTACGCATTCAAAATCTTAATCAAATACTTCAATTGTTTATTTATAATTGCCCGTTATACTGAACATATTGCAAGTCGTAAATATTTGCATATACAAAACGCGGGCTAAATTTGAACTCTACCCAAAATTGTCATCTACCAAATCTGATTAGATGAATGATGATTGGGACTAAAGTAGTTAATGCTTTGAGGCTGGTTCGCCGATTTCTAAACATATGTAGAATGTAGAAAATAGTAAACAAATGGGGCAGAGAGATATTGATGGGCAATAACTGACCCGATGTGATTCTGATAGAGCAGTAGACAGTTTGATATACTATAATTATATGGTCAGATAAAGAAATTAAAAACATGTTATGTCAATTAATTGTTGTAAATGTATGACATAGGCTCAATAAAGATATAGCTAAGTAAATAAAGACCAAAATAAGCCTGTGAATCAGCTATGACCCGAACGCACGCTTATAGCTGATTGGGCAAAAGAAAAAACCTGCTCTGACCTATTCAAAGCCATTTAATGGAGCCAAAGGAGGAGGTACACTAAAGCAACTGTATTATATGCTTAAGGAGGGTTTTTTTTAGACTTTGCATTCCATGAACTGAGATAAAGAACAATGCAGCCTTCCTTATGTTCTCAGCATATGTATCGCCCTCTCTCTCTCTCTCTCTCGCTCTCTCTCGCTCTCTCCCTCTATTTCTAACTTTCTATTCTTCTATGCGACTCGTTTTGTTGACACGTAAACGTCAATTGCAAAAATCTGAGCCCAAAAATGTTTGTCCTAGCGCAACAAATGTAAAGCGACAACACCAATCCGCAACCCCCTCTAACCTTCACCCCCCCTCCAGACTGCACACTTGTGTGTGTGTGCAGACGAACATGTTCCGGCGAACTGTGTGGGGTGTGTGAGCATGTGGGCGGATTTGTCTAATAAACGCCAGACAAAGCATCAATCGCAGGACACACGTGGGCCAAAGGTGAGCAGCTGTTCGATATGCGTGTGCGGGGTGTGTGTAGGTGGGTGGTGTGGGTGTGAGTGTGCGCCCGGTTTGGGCAGTCATCGAAATTTTCTAACCCGTGAGCTAACCTCAATACATGCCATTTAACATATTTTTTTTGTACGAGTGATTTTTTATTTTTTTTTTTTTGTAACTCAAAGTCTTCTTTGCAGAAGATCCCGAAATTTGAGCGAAAAGAAGCGTCGGGATCAATTCAATTCGCTGGTTAACGATTTGAGTGGACTTATAACCACATCGAATCGCAAAATGGACAAGTCAACAGTACTGAAGTCTACCATATCATTCCTAAGGCATCACAATGGTAAGCGTCATACAAGGATAATAATGAATCTAGATCTTATATAGATACTTATGTGTCATATGCAGAGGCAACGGATCGCTCCAAGGTGTTCGAGATCGAGCAGGAATGGAAGCCCACATTTCTGACAAACGATGAGTTTTCTCACTTGATGCTCGAGTCCTTGGATGCCTTCATGGTGGTCTTTAACAGTGTGGGCTCCGTATTCTATGCATCGGAGAGTGTGGCCTCGCAGCTCGGCTACATGCCGGTAGGTGGCGCCAGCCTAACTCGATTAAAACATTGAAATGACACTTTTTCTCTTTCTCCCTCCCTTGCTCTGACAGTGTGAGCTCTACAGCAAGAACTTTTACGATGTGACCTATGAGCTGGATCAGGAGGCCCTGCTGAACGTCTTTTTGAATCCAGCGCCCGTCGTCGAGCCCCACCTGACGGACATCGGTGCCAGCAACAAGATTACCTTCTACACGCATCTGAAACGCGGCGGGCAGGAGAATAGGGTTGCGAGTCTGTACGAGCTGGTGAAATTCGTGGGTTACTTTCGTAGGTAGTCGCGCAGCTGACTAGCAGCACAGTTTCTTTTTTAACTCGAAGCCCCATCAAACCCCTAGGAATAGATGGCAACAGCAATGCAAACGACAGCCCGGACAGCCAGCAGACGCTGCCGCGTATCCTGCAGGAGCATCCGGGCGTGGAGCTGGACAAGCGGCTGGTGTTTGTGGGCACGGGCCGCATACAGACGCCGCAGATGATACGCGAGATGAGCATCGTAGAGCCGAACGGCACCGAGTTCACCTCGAAGCACAGCATGGAGTGGAAGTTCCTGTTCCTCGACCATCGAGCGCCGCCCATCATTGGCTACATGCCGTTCGAGGTGCTGGGCACCTCCGGCTACGATTACTATCACTTCGATGATCTGGACAACATTGTCGCCTGCCACGAGGAGTGTATGTATGCGCAGCTTCAGCTGGCGCCCGTGCAATCTAATCTTTGCTCTCCATTTGCACAGTGCGCCAGACGGGCGAGGGCAAGTCCTGCTATTATCGCTTTCTGACGAAGGGCCAGCAGTACATTTGGCTGCAAACGGACTACTACGTGAGCTATCACCAGTACAGCTCCAAGCCGGACTACGTGGTCTGCACACACAAGGTAATCAGCTATACGGAGATGCTGAATGGGGATAGCGGGGAGCAGCATACGCCTAGCCAGGCGCCCAAGTCCAACTCGAGCAGCAGCAAGTGCGCCTCGGCGACGACCACGCTGCGTGACATGGAGCTGAGCAGCCAGCATCTGGACAGCCATCTGCTCGACAATATGCTTGCCAATCTGAGCAGCGAACAGACAGCTGCAGCCGCTTCGCCCACGATGGACTCCTCGCCCATGTGGTCGTCGGGCGTGGCACCAGCCGCGAGCAGCTCCTCTTTGAATCCGCTGAAGACCTCCAGACCCGCCTCCAGCTATGGCAACATCAGCTCTACGGGCATCTCGCCGAAGGCCAAGCGCAAATGTTACTTCAATTACAACAGCCGGGGCAACGAATCCGACTCCACGTCCATGTCCACGGATTCAGTTACCAGCAGGCAATCCCTCATGACGCATTGCAGCTCGGTAAGTTAACATGCGAGAAGAATAGCCTTCACTCTAATCGCATTCCTTTGTATTCACAGCAAAGTCATCGTCAGCGCTCGCATCTTCTTCACAGCCAGCGGCATCATTCGCAGCAGCAGCAGCAACATACAAACTTCCACCAGCAGCAGCAACAGCAACAACAGTTGCAGCTGCATCAGAGCATCGGGCAGCCGAAGATATTGCCGATGTTGCCGCTGGCGCCCGCGCAGCTCGTTACGGGCAGCGCCTGCCAGCTGACACAGTCCAGCTATCCGCTGAGCACACCGCAGCTGATGGCGCCCAGTTTTCTGGAGCCGCCACAATATCTGGCCGCCATACCCGTGCAGCCAGTGATGGGACCGTTTCCGGTGGCACCCGTGCTGTCGCCGTTGCCGGTGCCGGTGTCGGTGCAGGGGCAGCAGCCGGAGCTGCTGTCGGGCGCCGTGGTGATGACCACGACGCAGAGCCAGCTGCAGGATCAGCTGCAGCGCAAGCATGACGAGCTGCAGAAGCTAATCATGCAGCAGCAGGACGAGCTGCGCATCGTCTCCGAGCAACTGTTGCTCGCGCGCTATACGTACCTGCAGCCCGTGATGCCCGTCAGTTTTTCCACCACCAACATGACAGCTGCCGGCGCCCATGTGCAGCGCAGCATCACTTTCCGGGGCAGCAATGCTGTGGAGCCGCAGTTCAATCAGTACGGCTTCGCGCTCAACACGGAGCAGATGCTCAATCAGCAGGACCAGCAGATGCTGATGCGCCAGCAGCAGAATCTTCACAGTCAGCAGCAGCACAATCACAATTTGCAGCAGCAGCAGCAGCTGCAACAGACCCACCAGCATCAACAGCAGCAGCACAGGCAACAGCTGCAGCTGCAACACAGCCTGCAACAGCAGCAGCAACAGTTGCAGCAGCAGCAACAGTTGCAGCAGCAGCAACAGTTGCAGCAGCAGCAGCAACAGTTGCAGCAGCAACAGTTGCAGCTGCAGCATCAGAGCAGCATGTTGTCGCGTGAGGACATGGAGGACATTGATGCCTTTCTCAATCTGTCGCCGCTGCAGACGCTCGACACGCAGCTGAACAGCAACTGCAACGGCAGCAACAACAACTCGAACGCACCGCAGAATACGAATGAGGACTCGCTGCTGTCGTACATGCAACTGGCCACCGAATCGAGTCCTTCGCTCAACTTTCCCATGGGCATGAGCGACGACGGCTCCGAGACGCACAGCGAGGACAACCAGATGATGCACAGCACCGCGCAGCAGCAACATCTACTGCAGCAGCAACAGCAGCAGCAGCAACAGCAGCAGCAGCAGCAACTGTTGCAGCCGCAGCAGGCGAGCAGCTTTTTCGCCACGAATCCTTTCCAGTCGATCAGCGGCAATGAGAACCAAAGCCATTTGCCCAACGATCTGGAGATATTGCCATATCAAATGTCGCAGGAGCAATCGCAGAATCTGTTTGACTCGCCGCATGCGGCCGGCAAAACTCAATAGTATATGGCCAGCCTGGGGGCGTGGCATACTAACAGAAATCCTTGAACTCCTAGGACTAGTCAGCTGCTGTCCCCAGGTCTTAAACATGCCACACTGTGTATTAAGTAAGGCCCAATCCTAAGTTTCGGCACATTCGGCTCTCTTTATCGAACATACACAATACCCAAAAACTAGTTGTAGATCTCAACAGACTGAGTATTGCTCTTAAGCCTAAACTTAACTCCCTAATAACTAACTATGTAAGCCATTAACTATTCATATTTTCCATCAGGCAGCTCGCATGCTCTCAAAATTTAGTTCAATTCAGTTTAAGTTTTAGTTTAGGGAAAGCTTAGCCCAACGTTAGTTACAATTATCCAGTAAGTGCCATTGGCACAAACAGGGATCTCTGATATGTATAAAAAAAAACCTAATAAAGCGTAGATAAACCAGACCGATTCCAGTGTGTATATAGTTATAGTTTTGTATGTGTCGACAAATACCTAAAAGCAACTAAAACAAAAATGCAACCAAGCAAATTTTGCATATATCATATCATTTATATATATTTTATATATGACGCATATAAATATTTATATTTATATTTTTATATGTATATTATTTAAAGACTGCGCTTCGCTTTTGGAGTCATATAAATAGTTTGTTGTTATTGTAGTATTTAAGTCGAAACTCAGGTTGAGATTGCAACTGAATTATTTGCTGTGAACATATTCAAATATTATTAAATTCGACTGTTGTTTCTCTTTCTTTTAAGCCGAAATGTTTTCCAATTTTTTTTTATTCCTGAAAAACTCACTAGAACAGCCGTAATATATATGTGTGTGATTAAATTATATTTCAGTTGTATTATCAGGCTATGTTCCTCTTTAACTTCATGATCAGAGTTGAATATGTCACCGAATCACACTCACAATCACATTCACATTCACATTCACTACATTCAAGCTGATAGAAGAGCCAACTGCAGTAAACTTAACATATATATATATATATATATATATTATTCTCTATATATTCGAAATAGCTTTCAACTCAAACCAGTTTAAGTATCTAGCTTTAAGGCAAACCCTGTGCATAACTATTATAATAGAACTTGTATATATTGTATATATATTGTACATTGTGTTGTTCTGTAAATAACTATAGATATACTCTCTGATATACATAGAAGAACATATAGAATAATTTTCGCATAAGTATAAATCGATACACTTTAAAGCCGAGACACGTTGTAATAAACAAAAGGTATAAACGAAATAGTTACAAAATATCATATTATTATTTTCATAAATTATAAAAAGTATTTTTGTATCAGCCAAACCAAGGCTCAGTTCGAGCCTGCACCCTGACTATAAGTCCTTATTTTAATTGCCCTTTGTACCGAAAATATTTCAAGCCATAATTATTTTCCTATACAAAATGAGGGCTAAATTTGAGATCTACCCCAAAATTGGCAGCAATAGTTGTTGCCAAAGTTATTTATATTCCCTTAACTTAATATCCAACCAGCCCATTAAAAAAAGACTTGGTTTTGTTTTAGCTGTTTATTAAACAACTGTTTGGGTTTAAGGTTCGGTTAATGATTAAAGTTTAATTGAAATTGTGGACTGAGCCCGGCTTGGTTCCAGTCGCGATATATATAGATATAAAGTGTCTTATAGTTAGGATTATATGAATCGAGTTAGACGCGCAGCTTGACAATCGCGTTCTGAAGTATCTGGAACTCGGAGTTGATGTTGTTCATCAGATTCGAGATCTGCGGCTTGGAGTCCAGCACCTCGATGCTCTGCGTGTAGGCATTGTAGCGCACGCCGAAAGGGCGCGGTATGGAGTTGGCGAATTTGCTGCAAAGATGCGAATTGGAGAAACGAATCGATGGAACTGCACTTGGCTGCTACTCACATGGTCTTCTCCTTGGCGCTCTCGAAACTGTCGGCCACATAGTAAAGCGGCTGGAACTGGGTGATGGGATACTTGGTGATGCCAGTCACCTCCGGCTCGAAGTCCTTGAGCTGTGGCTTGTCCGTCAGACAGTACTCCAACTCGCCGTAGGAGGAGAGCAGGCCGGCGCCAAAGGCCTTCAGCTCTCCCTCCTGCCGACACAAGCCGTACTCCACGGTGAACCAGAAGATCTGAAAGAGCGTGACCGACCGACCACAAGGATTAGAAGATCAGAGCTAGGCTGGCATATCTTACCGTGGACAGCTTCTCAATGTAGTCGTCGGGTGCGCCCAGCGAGGCCAAGCCAATCTCCTGACTGAACTGGGCAAAGGCCGGATCGGCGAAGAGAGGCACATGACCCAGCAGCTCGTGGCAAACATCCGGCTCGGGCGTGTACATGGGCTTGCTGGGATGCCTGATGTACTGGGTGGAATGGAAGACGCGGAACGCCAGACCAGCCAAGAAATCGCGAGAGCTGAGCAGGCCAGCTACCGGGCGGAGAGTGAAGCCCGTGCAATCTGGCCAACAAAACAAGATGGTATATATAGAAATCCAAAGAGACAGAGCACCAGATCTACTTACCCCTCAAGAAGTTGGAGACATCCTCCAGCTGTGGTATGTTATCCTCCCGGAAGCCGCAGTTGTCCACCAGCAGGGGAAAGACATGATTGTATTCGCGGCAAGCGTGCGTCTTGTAGAGCTTGGTCAGATTCCGAAAGATGATGCCCCACGTTTCGATCTCCTCCTTCGTATAGTCCACATGCGGCAGCTGCTCCCCGTGCTTGTAATTGTAGGCAATGTCCGCAAAGTACTTGCGACGCTTGCGATACTCGGGATCTGTGAAGCCCGGATGGTCCGAATCCAGCTCCGCACCATAGCTCAAAATCTGATTGGCGAACCGGTCCAGATCACGTATACGACGTGGAAACCAGGGCACAGCCGTCGCATTGTCCTTGTAATCGCGCGAGATGATGTTGAAGTAGCTGCACTGCTCCTTCAGATCCTCGATGGCCTTGCCCAGGGCACCGGACTTGCCATCGCACTCCACAAAGAACTCGTAGCCGGGCACACGCAGCGAGGAGCGCGACTCGATGTGCACCAGATTGATGTCGTGCTTCTTGAAGATGGCCAACGTGTTGGCCAAGGCGCCGCTGGCCAGCGACGAGTCCTTCGGCGAGAACAGCAGGCACGTGTTGCGCGCCTCCCGCATGTCCACGCCCTCCGCTATATACGCAGAGTCCTCGATGCGAGTTGGCTACAACAACAACAACAATAGTAGAAATAATGACCACTTGTGCTTATCAATTTGTATGCCAATCTGTTTGCATAATAACCAGACATGGTTATCAGATAGGCATCGGCTGCGAAAAACGGCCCATCAATCAATCGGTTAATGTTCTATATAATAGGCATGTTATTGCCATTGCTGCTCTGGCATTGCAAACAGATATTAGCGTCATGGGATTTTTCTGTTTCGCTCAGATTTCAAAGGTCGCCAACGGCCCAAGACTTAAATCGAAGGTCTAACCGCAATGCCCGATCACAGGGCCAAAGCCATGAATATTACCTAGAACTTGATTCGTAAACCCAACCCTCGTCCACGAGATTCACTTGTGCTCAAATATTCTGTATTTGTGCCCGTAATGGCTAAGCTCTATAAACAGTAAAGTATATCTCATTGTGCATGGCTATAAAGTTAGATTAATTTAATTTCAGATTTAAAGCCTTTTCTAGTCAAAAAAATAAATTAAGCTATTAAAGAACTCTCTTTAAAAATGTTAAATAATTTTTCTTATATTATCACTGATTTTCTAAAGTGTATAAAAAACGCAACGCAGCAAATAGTTAAGATAGTCTTTCAGGTTTTTTAATTTAAGCATTTGCTATAAGAACTGAAGACTTGAAATTTTGAACGTAGCTCCTATTAATTTCCGCGAAATACAAGCTTGCTTTCGATAATCTTTTCCAATCTAGCGATAAGACTCGATATCGAAATCCTGTTTTCAGAGCATAGTTCTTGGGTTTTAAGAACTAGAGTCACGAAACTTGACGTTTAGCTTCTAGAATAAAATCTTTCACTTTATTATTTTGTTAGAATGTTTAAATTATTTTCTATGAATTTGTATAATATTTTACTTGATTTATATTGACTAATTTATATTGTTTTTGCACGTTGGGTTAGTTGTGAATCGCATTTGTTTCATATGTAGAATTTCACTCTCAGTATGGAAATATACAGATTTATTTGTGTGTATTGATTGTACGCATTTGCAGGAACTGCGTCGTGAACCAACCTTATCGAAGGAAACTTGACGCTGATACATTTTTGCTACTGTGTCTCGATTGTCTCACGGATGTTCTTCGAGTTGAGAACGTTTCTTGAAAAAGCAAAAACAAAAGCAATGCGAACGCAACGCAGAACACACGCTTTAAAACTGATTTGGTTTCTGTGCCATTCAGATGCTTTTATAGACTTCAGCCAGAGGCCCAGCTATAAGCTAATCTGTGAGGCAATAATATCAATAATAACAACACAATACAACCAAAACCGAGCACAGAGCATACGCGAATGGGTCGATCAGAGAACGGCATCCACGCCGAGCTCGGGGGTTATCAGCTGGCGTCTCTATATAGCTTCGGTTGGCCCGTGTACCGGAGTCGAACATAAAAAAGTCTATATGGGCATGAAGAGCATAATTCTTATCAAAAACATGCGCCGCTTGTGGTCTTTCTTTATGTTAAATAGTTTAAATTTTGCGAAAAAAAAACTATATTGAAAATAGCTACGAAATAATCAAAATTCTAATGACAGGTTCTAGCCAAACGGGTTCAACGGCATTTCTGGGCAATTATTGAAGGTAAATAAAGTTTTATAGGCGGCATTTAAAGCAGTGCAAAAGCCTTCTAAAACAGGCGAGTTCCACAGCTGAACGAGCGACTATCGAAATAATGTTTTGATTAAGTCGGCAACCTGTCTTGAGTTTTCAGCAAGTGGCACGCAGTTGCTTATCAAGTAGTCAACAACAACAACTACAACAACAACACGACAACAACAACAACTAATAAGACAAATGCTGACCCGCTCATTTGCCCCCTTCAACTGACATATGTGCAAAATCAGCTTTCATTCAAACAATGAGACCCCTTTTAGCGGGCTCTACGCGATTCTCTGAGTGTGGATCGTGATTTGTGGAACGCATCTGCAACACTCCGCTCGAAGTTGCCACACACGTTTGCCTCATGTTGTCATTTTTGTGGGCATCTATTTTATATTCCTGCAAGCCAAAAATATATATATAAATTTACTTTACGCTTCGAACCAGTTTGCTGGTTCGATTGTTGAACCCTTGTTCTGGTTCGTCACCTATTTACAATTATTTTTTATTGTATTCTTTTTTATATTATTGACGCGAGATTACAAATTGCGCACAACTTAGAATTGGACTATACCAATTAATTATATTTATTTATTTCTTATCATTATATTATTGAGCATTATTAACTATTAAACAATTGCCCCTTGCACTGAAAATATTGCAAGCTTTCAATATTTTCATATACAAAGCGCGGGCTATATTTGAATTGTACGCAAACTTGGCAAAAGAGGGTTTCTTTTGAATCTAATTTTTAGACTTTTTATTATATTTGTATTATTTTTTGATATGCTTTTTGCAGCTTTTTATGGCTTCACCCCGTAACCCCTCTCTCATACTCTCTAGTCGAGATAATGCAGCATTGCATTTAGCTGCGACATAGCTATATATGGGCTTTTTTTTACGGGTGAGAATTGCTTGCTTCTGTTCCCAAAAATAAAACTGATGCAATAAGCCATGCAAATTACGACAAATAAATTCTTTTGTAATCAAATCTGTAAGTTATGTAGCGCGAGTTGTAGACACTTTAATAAATAGTACAAGTTATTGTTTAAGTTTACAGCTTCAAAATATTATCTCTATATATAAAACTGTTTGGCCTGACTGACTGATTGAATGACTGACAGACTGACTGACTGCGTAAAAAGTTGATTGCAACTTATGAAAAAGTGATGTCTAAAATTTTGGGCTTATACGCTATATGTATATATATTTGGTTGCATGTACTTACATATAATGTATGCATGTCTGCATGTGTGCATGTACGTATGTACTTAACTTACCGCTGCAGTGCAAATTTGAAAGAAATATATTATTGACTAATGTCCTGTTATGCGATTCTCAAAAATACAAGTAAAAATTACAATTTTTACTCTTCAGTTTAAAGAGTAACATGTGTGTGTGGTTTTGGTAGTCTTGTTCTGTTTGTGCCTCTGTATGTAAGTGTATATGTAAGTGTATATGTATGTATGTACGTATGTACATATGTATGTATGTATTTATCTTTGTATTTATTTATGTATGTATGTATGTATGTATGTATGTATGTATGTATGTATGTATGTATGTATGTATGTATGTATGTATGTATGCATGTATGCATGTATGCATGTTTGTATGTATGTATGTATGTATGTATGTATGTATGCATGTATGCATGTATGCATGTTTGTATGTATGTATGCATGTTTGTATGCATGTATGCATGTATGTATGTATGTATGTATGTATGCATGTATGCATGTATGTGTACGTATGTACGTATGTATGTATGTATGTATTTATCTTTGTATGTATGTATGTATGTATGTATGTATGTATGTATGTATGTATTTATGCATGTATGTATGTATGTATGTATGTGTGTATGTGTGGATATATGTATGTATGCCTGTATGTATGTAGGTATGGATTTGTATGTATGCATGTATGTGTTTATGTATATGTATATATATATACATATGTGTATATACATACATATATGTGAGCATGAATGCGTGTATGTATGTAATTATGTTTGTGTGGATGAATTGTGTATGCATGCATGCATGTCTGTTTGTTTAAAATCGTAATCTAAACTAATTCCCTTCTACGCGATTCTCATGAATTAAAGTAAGCCTCAAAGGCTTCAGTTGAAGAAAGGAGGCGTCGGCTTTCATATAGGAGGACGAGACAACTTAAACACAGGAGGAGGCGAATTCAACCAGGGTGAAGGCAGTGGCTATGGCTTTGGCAGTGGTCAATGAAGAAACTGGTACGTATAATCATGATAACTAGGTGTTAATATATTTCGGGTTTTTTGTATTTTAATAGATACTTATATGCATGCATTTGATTATGTGTGTATGTTGGGCTGAGCCTAACATGAGTAACAAACGTATTTAAAAATACTGATCTACTAAGCGATTCCCACTAATTCAAATAAGAAATAATCATTATCTATGTTTTTCTTTTCTTTTAGTGATGTGTTTATATAAAATTTAATAATCGATTTAATAATCGTGTGAGCTTACAGCTGAGTTCGCAATTAGAAATATATATTTAGTAATTTTAATTAAAATCAATAAGAAAATATCGCAAAGTACATTTCATTAAAATATTTATTTAAATTACGCATAAGAGATATCCAAAAATAATTCGCATAAAAAAGGTATCAAAAATTCATGTAGTTTTACAAATGTTCTTTACAAAAAATAAATCATTGTTTAGAAATTATTTATTATAAATTAAAAATAATTAGAAATTATTATATTGACGCCAGAGCGAGGTGAGGAGGCCGCGTTTCGGATGTGCCTGTGTAGACGTCTGTGAACGTACGTTCTTCAGAGTGCAGCCCACGGGCAGATTGACCTAGATACAGATAGAGATACAAATAGTTGCAGTTACAGTTACAGATATATACAGATACAGATGCAAAGGGGTTGCATTCAAACGTTAGATGCTTTGCTAAACCTTCGCTGGGTTTCTCGCATTACAGCTAATAGATGCTTTGGCTTTGGGCGCGATATTGGCGAGACGCCGCTTGACGCAGCTGCTCTGAATTGTGGTTGATGGAACTTACAGATTGGCTGGCGGTCACTTTGACCGGTTCCTTGCCGGGACAGACCACGTACGACTCGTGGCCCGCAAAGAGGCTGCTGTGCGTGGGCTCAGTGAGTGCAGCGGGGGCAGAAGACAGGTCCGGGTAGCTTATCTCGGCATGGTCGGGAGCGGGGGTGGGTTCAGCGGCTAGATAGGTAAAGGTATAAATATTGATATTAATAAAGCACGAAAAGGATAAAGGAATAAATATAGATGTAAATATGGCGTTTAGGTTAACTTATATGTATACAAATGGGTTACATATAGGTATAAATTTAAGTATGAATGTATATATAATCATATAGGTATATAGTAGATATATAATGTCCGTTTTATATGGGCATAAATTTAGGTATAAATATAGACATACAAATGTCAATGGATTGGTTATAGTCGAAACTATAGATAAAAACTATAGAATAGAGGCATATATGAATATACAAGAAGTATAGAAGAAGTGAAGACAGACTGGAGTCTCGGCTGTCTGCTCACCTTTGACACGAATTTGGAAGCTACAGGTCAGAGTCAGGCCATCCGTGGTGGTGGCTTCATATTTGATGTCATGATCGCCCCGACCGAACAGTGCGCCAGGGAACTGTGGATATATTCAAGAAATAAGCTGGTTCTAAGAGTTTGGAAAGAGTGCCATTTGCTGTACTTACAGATGATTTGTAGATCTTCAAGAGTTTACCCTCGAAGCGAGGCTCTTCCCAGACAACGGAGCGCAGATTTTGGTTCTCTTTCAAATGCACCTCAAAGGAAGGCGGACAGTAGCGGGATGAGGAAGAGCCCAGATCAATGCGAGAGCTCTCAAATGATCTTGGCGAAGGTGTCTCCTCAGCGGGTCGCTCAGCTATCAGGCTCTCGGAACGTCTCACTGTGGGCGATGCATCAAAGATGCTGGCAAAAGGTTTCGAAGCTGCTCCGAACTGTGGAAGGGAAGCGGATCGGAACTCTGGAAGTGGCGCAGGTCTAAAAGCAGGCATTGCAGCCGGTCTAAAAACGGGAAAAGATGAGTAGGAACTCGGAGCTGGTGCCTGCTTGACGGTGATGATGGTCTGGCACCCAACGGTCTGTGATGTGACCGGATCGTGGGCCCTGTAAACGATCTTATGCGTGCCCGCGGGCAGATGACCCTGGAGCTGCTTAGCCCAAGCCGGAAAGGCAACCACATGACGATAGTCCAAATTTGTAGCCGGACGCTGTAGTATGACATGGGCCTTGCTCTGATGCGGATTCAGCAGGATAACTACGTTCTCCGGGCACTTGATGTACGCGTTAACTGGCCGCTGGACGGGCACCTGCTGCCGACGCACCTGTTGAATGGTCGACAGCTGTCTGAATGGCTGCTGCTGCCAGGGTGCCTGAACACTGGTCGCTGTAGGCAATTGATTGCTCAAGAAGTTCGAGGCGAAGGGCTTGCACTCCAGCACGCTGCCCAGAGACCAGCCGTTCATGCAGGTGGTCAGCATGCCGCCAACGGG